GGATTTGAAGAATTTACTTTGTAATTCGTGAACATATTTCCCACGCGCCACCAACTTTGAGTGCGTTTGATTTTCCAGATCCTTAACAGAATCGGAACCATGAAGAAAACTCTTGACTAAGGTTTTGGCTTTTGATTCTGGCTTTTTTTCACTTGAATTTTCAGCGGAAGAGTTCAAAGTGGAAGCAGAAAATTGAAAGTTTCTCTCATTTCGGGTAATTGAAGGAATTAAGAATTTTTTATTTAGTCCGACCGAACCGGCCTGACGTATGGTACTCAGAAGCCGGGAAAACCCGTAATAGTTGTTTTTCCTCGATAAATTGCTGGCATTGAATGTCGACGCTAAATTATATAAACGAGGAGCTTGACGGACAGCCATTTTCGAATTTTAAAGTTGATTATAATTTACTGATGAAGATGGCTATATAATTTAATTCATGAATGTAACACAGATGGTAATCTTTACTACTATTTTTGTAATGCCCTAACTGATTTCATCCGTTCCAAGAAACGGATCAAAAATGTTACTATTAATTAGAATTTTTTTTACACTTGTAAAATACAAATTCCACACGGTGGAAATTTTTATTAGCATATAAAAAAGGATTGAAAATTACCGGATGCATATACTGTATAGAGCCTCAGCAAGTGCAATGTACACACCCCGATATTTTATGTTTCACAAAAGACAAGGAGATGAATGTCAATAAAATAGAGTCGACATGACAGAATTATTGTCCGGCGAGTTTAAATTAAAATATTGCAACCTACGTCCTAAAAAACCAATACTAATGTGTTGATAGAAGCTAACAAAAACCAAAGAAGAGATAAAAATAAATATATTAATTTAAGCGGCCCCACGAATTTCTAATTTATCCAAGGCACGAGCACCCTCTTCTTCCCATTCTTGCTTGGTAATCCACCAAGACTGTTTATCTTTCATTATATTCGCTAATACTGCACCGCCAAGGAACACCATATGTTTTCTTCCTGGAGGATCTTCAATCTTAATCTTTAATTTCTGTCAAAAAAA